ACACATTTGCATTTTCACACACCTGCATTTTGCATATTGACTTAAGCTTCTATTCAACACCACAGAGAACACCAGCAGACTCTCCCTATGCCTGAAGAAGGGTGCTTATGCTCAAAGAACAATTGTTCTACCTATTCAGTTGGTCTAATAAAAGCCATCACATTTACCCAAATAACCTTGTCTGCCTATGTCCTTAGATCAACATAGCTACAACCAACACCACCAAATAACTAAACTTTTATCTAAACTGCCACATTAACACATCTGTATGTTCAGACTGAATACTTTTCTTTGGGCTAATTACCACAAGAAGAAATTGCAGGGACTTATACAGAATTGTAAAGACTTGTGCATATTTCTATAAGGATTGTGTATATTTATAAAAAAACTGTTTTTATATTTTATAAACATACACGCATTATATATAATCACACATTCACACCCACATATATACAAGGTTTGTCATGTGTAAAGTACACGAATAGGCCTTTTAAAAATAATTTTATATAAAAACAAAGTTATAAAATGTGTACACATACTAATTTAAACTACAATGACAATCTTCCCTTGCAAAGTGTAGAATTCCTTCTGTTTTCCCCAAATCCAGTCCTTCTACACAGCAGGATGAAAATTATGGTTTTATATTATAGGGGAAGTTGAATAGGATTATTCCTTCCATACTAACATTTCTGTAAGCTCTTTTCAATTCTTTCCATTTTTTTGATAAAAATGAGTATGAAGAAAGTCAAGGTAATTTAAAAAAATCAAAATTGGATAATTAGTTTCTGTTTCTTATTTACTTTTTTTTTTTTTAAAGAGAAATAAATTAAATGCTTCACGTTATTAAGAAACCAAAAATACAAAACTGAATTTAGTTCAAGGCTTCACGTACTCAAATGAACACTACTGGGAGAAAAAAAAAGATATCATAAATTTCTATTTTGCCATGTTGACTACCAGTACTTCTAGCTCTAATATTAGATTCAAATAATAGATTCTACAAGACAGTTTTTAGAGCTGACATTTTCCACCATTTGTGCTGTAAGAAACAAGAGTTTCAAAAATAGAACTTGGTGCAGTTACAGTAACTTTTGGTTTATACAAGGGTAGATTTAACAAAT